AAAAAAAAAGATCCCATTTTAAAATGACGTGCTACAGGCTGGTCATGCAACAGTTTATGACATCGTGATGCAATTATTGCCTTGAAATATTGATATTCTGGATTCAGTTCACATTTCCCAGAACACTGCTGTAAGTTTGTCTGTCAGGATTGTTCTAGACATATCACATAGCAGTTTTTTCCAGGGATTAAAACCAAAGCATGTGTTTCTGTTTTATAGTACATGTACGTACTTGTTAAGGTAAATCCCATTGGCCCCAGTTCCACAGCAGTATTTCACAACAGACTTTGTCCTTACTGTAAGTTCAATATGTTAGTCAACTTTGGCCTAAAGTAAGCCAGCTTTGTATCCAGACTCAATAAAAATTGAACCTGTTTTATTAATTTGAAATTAAAGATGATCAGTGGCTACTGCATTATAGTGGACAAATACAGTTTTATCCCCAGTTGAAATGGGCCAAATATTCATCTTAAAGTTTAGCCCAACTTAAAGTCTTAAGTAGACAGGTCCCCGTAGGTCATACTGATGCCCATACTTATCAAACTAAGCAGCTTGTCTCCTGTTATCTTAGTTTTACCCAGAGGGTCTGAGATCACTAAGCACCAAAAGCTATTATGATATATGTATTCCTCATGGAACACTTATTTAGTAATTGCACCAAGAAGTTTCAGAACTCTTTTGGGTGTCCCTGGGGGGCATGAAGATCAGACCTGTTACTTGTAGGGTTTAATAATATATCATTGAAGGATATCATTTACATCACTGGTCTAGTTCCTGTAGACTCCAGTCTGCCTGAAAGTCTCAGGCTGGATTGAAGACTCTGTGGTGGCTAACTTACCGATACAGAGCCAGACCAAGGGGAGGCTTTGTTCTAGATAGCTCACCTGCACAAGTCTGCGTCAAAATTGATATGTTTATTTGGTACTGGACTATACACAACTAGTGGCATCAGCTGGCTCATGCAATTAAAGGCCCCAAGAAGCAAATTATCTTCCACAACAATTATTGATATCGAATTATGTAGTTGTGCCTCACTTGGTCACAAAACTTGCTTTTTCAGTATGCAAAAGCAGGGGCAGATCCAGAGATATTTTCTGACATCCTTCCTAGTTAATTTTGTTGTTCCAGCCTCCATTTTTTCCAGCAGAAAAAAAATAGATTCCTGACAATGTAAACTTTAAAATTCTGACCATCTTCCGGAAGACCCAGAAGACGGCTTCCATCCACCCCTGCAAAAAGATGTGAATCATGATGGCATCAGAGATGTGGTTCATTTTTTAAAACTTATTTGTTCAAATGAAATAATTTTGTGGTCAAAAAGTCATGATTGCATATGGCCATGTGGTCGTTTCCATGGTACCAACAAAGTAAGCCAAAATGGCTCCATGATACCAACAATAAAACCAAAAGAAGGACCATGTGTATACAATACCATACTAATTACTGCCATACCAGATGCTTGTAATATTACATGGAAAACACTGCAAGAATATTATTACATGCTCTAGGATATACATACTATGGCACATAAAAGTGACAGTTAGTGCAATGATTTTACTCATTTATGGCGTTTCTGATATTATGAACACATTAGTACTAAATCATTTACAGTCTCACAACAGAAATACAAATTCCATTTGTTTAGACTTTTGAACTCGTCTTAATTCAGTTTCTAATAGTGCCCCTTTGTGAACTTATTCTGTTGGCTGCTTTTCCTACATAAATATTTATGAACATTTTTCCTAGTCTGAACTGGTGCATTTATTCTTTGCATGTTGCAATTTTGAGCAGAAGCAGGATTAAGTTGTGAAAAGGATATGGCATGGCTGTGCATTAATTCTGGTTTTATAAAATAAAAAGTTAAGAGCACTCTAAGAGAAAGGGAATGAAAATGCTTTTAAAATATTAGGAGACCTAAATGCAGCAGACGGTGTAATAACATACTTGCCTCTTCAAAGTAGAGGTTTGCCCTAGAGTTTTTTCTTCACCTTTATGAATGAAACTTTGCAATTTTGTCCACAAACCAATACTTATGAAAATGTTACCCCTTCATTGGTGGAGATAATAATATTTGCGAAAATGTGAAAATCCTCTGCCTTAAAAAAACAATAAATGGATAAAATACGCCTTTCATTCTTTAGCCATTTGATGTTCTTTGTGAGTTTATGATATACTTCTGACAGGAGCATACTTAATATTAATACAATTCACAAAATGTTTGAATGAGATAGGTGTCTAGACTGTATGCTACCATTTTAACATTGCAAACAGAATAGATTGTATATATACGGCATATGTCTCTCCCCAGTGGCAGTGGTTTCTACCAGATTGGAACCAGATTTGAACTGATTTTGTTCTGGATTTGTACTGGATTTGTCAAGGATTTGTTCCTGAATGCTACCAGATTTTTATCAGATTAGTTCCAGATCTGTACCAGAGCGCATGGCTCCTCTCTTTCTGAGAGTCGGTATTTAGAAACTAATGTCAATTTTTAGTACTTCATTCTCGCTTTCCAGGCTTCATCCACTTTGGCTTCTTCCTCCTTTTCCCATGAAAATGTTACATACGACCTTTAACTATGATTTTGATCAGTTTGTCCATTTTACAGGCCCTGGGACAGGAATTCTCCATTTTTCTAATCTGGCCATCACTTCTTGTGTTTTATTTATTCTTGCTGCCCGTCTGTGTCAAATCCATTTCATAGTTCACATTTAATATAATATAATAGTAGTTTTCAAAATAATATATACATGACAACAGTGTATTTTATATTAGGCCGTAAAAGTACCAAGTAACCAGTTTGTGGAATAATGTATGTGTGTGATCACCAGAATGGATATATATATGTAACAGATGTCCTCTTAATATTTAACAATAAAACGGTGAACAACCTTGAGCGATATTGTAGTGTGAAGGTAATTTTTCCTGTTGTCTGTTACCATGCCTCTCCATTTGCCTGTACTCAGTTCCTTTTTATTATTTTGGATATGTCATCAATATATATATATATATATATATAAAGTAAATCTTTTGTGTACTGGTACATACTTTACAGTTATATCCATCTGACTGGTTCCATTAGCCTGAACATGGCATCCTAGTCTTATTATGGATATGTTGTGGATATGATTTGTGTACTGGTACCACATTTCAACAGTAATATGACTGGTTCCATTTGCCTGAATATGGCGTGCTAGTCTTATTATAGATATTTTCCACAGATCCATTTCACTAGAAACCTTTTTGAAATGACCTCCATGTGTCTATCGTATCTCCAGATGTTCGATATCTCACCCTCCAGGGGGAGACGATTTAACAACTCATACACAACCATTTTCATTCCTTTCATTTTTTCAAAGATATTCTTCGTTGAAGAAAAAGATAAATAATGAGTGTTTCATGGGATATGTAAATGGTTACATACAAATAATATTCATAAATATGATGTCCATGCTTATTTGGAATCTTGACAGTTTTGTCTGAATTTTGTCAAGACTTGATCACAACTGTGGCTGTTGGCTGACGTGATTGTCAATCCCTACTTGGTACTTCTGTTGTTAATCATCTATGGCTTTATACCTAAGGTTGGAATTAGTTATTCTTCAATGTACCCTAGAGGCTGATAGATTTCCACTCTTATTCACACCCACAGATGCCCCATGTTCATTGACCATCTTAGTCTTACCTTGTGAACTCAAGGCATCTGTTAGATCAAATATAAGTACTATAAGCAGGGGCAGATCCAGAAATATTTTCTGACAGTCTTCCAAATTATCTTTGTTGATCCAACCTCTATCTTCCGTCAAAAAAAAAATTAGAAACCTTTTAGTATAAACTTGAAAATCTGATTGTCTTCCCGAAGACCCAGAAGACAGCCTCAATCGCCCCTGATAAGGGAACGTTGAACGTCCATTCCCAGTACGTAACATTTTTTGGACAAATATGCATCGTTAAATGCTGTCCTCTTTGGTCAATTCTTCTGAAGTTCCATTCGGCGTCTCCTGGGAGAGCCCATTCACTTGTGTGTACACAACCTTGCCCTGACTGGGAAGATGTGTCATGTGCATCGGCACTGCCATTGTTGTCTCTGTCATGTCCAAGTGAGTATTTCTGTCGCGCTCATAGCGATCAGAGCAGAAGCATTTTGTTGCTTTGTAATCATTGGTGATGTGTAGTGCGCGACACAGCTTCAGATAGCCCTTACGGATGCCTGGTAGGCGAACTCCGTAAATTATTGGATCCATGAGAGCATTACAGACCAAGAGGGTCATGGTCGTATACTGCCCTATCATTAAACGCTCTTTAAGTTCGGGATCCGGAGATTCCGATGATATGGAAGAGATTGTCAGGATGAGAGCGTGTGGGATCCAGAATAAGACTAGGACGCCATAAATCAGGACCATGGTGCCAGCGACCTTGACCTTGTGTTGGGTCTGGGTCGGCATCTCACGGTGGGACATTTGGCGAACGAGGAGGAATATTTTGGCATACAGGACCAGCACTGTCAGGGCAGATACTATGATGGTCACGCCTAAAATGAAGAGAAAGCATATGCTGTGGAATTTCAGTTGACATGGACATATTCAAAGGATTGTGACTGGCAAATTTTCATTTCTAGCTTCTTGAAAATAACATCTGAATTTGGTTTTAGTTTCTTCTTAGTCAAATTTAAGTAATTATTGAACTTTTTGTCAAGTTGCGGATAGCAGGCTGTAAAACCTACCTCCACCTTCTCCTTATATGATATGACCTTTACCTTATGCACCATGACCTTCACCTTATATGATATGACCTTTACCTTATGTACCATGACCTTCACCTTATATGACTTGAATTTGACCTTAATTGCCATGACTCACCCAGCACAATGTTCTCGGACAAATTATAACTGGGGTCGTTCACATACAGCTGGCAGATTCCTCGGTACGACATGTCCTTATTTTCATCCATACTGATACGCGCAAGGTGCATGTAGGGGCCAAACCCCAGCAGGAAGGACACGATCCAGATGAGCACGATGATGAAGATTGTGCGGGAGCGCTTGGTAAAGTGGCGGTAGGTATAGGGACAGAAGATGGTGATGCTCTGATAGGCAACGAGAGAGACCGTGGTTAAGGCAGAACTGTAGATCATGGTGGTAAAGAGGTAATACAGCAGGTTCATCATGCACATCACCTCTGTCAATTCATCTGGTGTGACTCCACAGTAGTATCTGAGAGAATAGCAGTTGTCATTAGCACATTGGGCTGGTGCCATAGATAAACTTAAGACAGATATTTAGTTTTAACTTTAAAAATGTAAATTTAGGTCTATTCATATCAGGGCATACATGTATTACAGGTGGTTGGTCTACTAAATTGGGGTATCTACTGGTCTGAAGATTGACTGTTTCTTTTTGTCAAAAAACAGTTGCAATATGTCATATATATATAAAAGGACTAATACTATTGTGTTTTGCATAAGTATAATGAATATTCTGTCTTTTAAGTTAAGACTAAAATTTGGTCAAGAACTTCGGTGAAACTGGACAGTGGTCATAAAGCAAATAATAACTATAAGTCCAAGTCAAGACTACAATATATATGTATGTAAGGGTACCCATTTGTTATATGGTGATAATTAAATCAAATGAGAGAGAGAGAGAGAATATGTGAGAGAGAGAAAAAGAGAGAGAGGTATCATTTTTCACTGTGTAACACTGAAGTCCATAAAGAATCCCTACCTATAATCATGGTACTCGTATGCCACAGCAGCCGATATAAGAATCAAAATATCTGCCACACAGAGGTTGGCCAGGAGATAGTAGAAAGTGTCCCGCATCATCTGAATTATGGCCAGAAGTGACACAAAGTTCATCACAATTCCAACGACGCAGAAAATTATAGGAATGTACACATGAAGGTTGACCATAGAGCAGGCAGTGCTGTTGGCCCCACTGTTGTTCATGGCCTCTGTGGCAACAGGAGCCAGTAGCACCGTGGTGATGTTTTCTGTGGTGTTCATTGCTACTGATGAAATGTATCTACTCATTATTGAAGTGTTCCCTAGTGTGGTATTTTTTTACTCTCCTTTTTTTTTTTTTTTTTTTTGAAATGTTACATAAGACCCACAATTCCGCTTTAGATTTACACAAACAGAATGTCTTACTTGTCTAATGACTTTCTTCCATCTTCAAAGAGAAGCCAGGAAAAGATATCATCACTTTGACTGCCCAGTGTAAATTGCAGAATTCCTCAGTCTTCTTAAACTTGGTTGTTTATATCCAGTTGCTAAATTATTGCTTAATGATCCAAGACATGCAGTATCAGTTCATCCCAATCACAAATATGTATTTAAAAGAAAAAAAATGAATCAACAATAATAGTTTACAATGAATTGGCTTCCTTTGTTGTCCACCACTTTTATATGCCGTTTCATGACAGTTCTGTCTTTAGGCGCTGAATTTGCTCCTTTTTAGCAAAATAACAGTAATAATAATAATGTTTTCCTTTAACAAAAGCAATTTTCCTCTTTTTTTTTTCCAAAAAAATAATATTTTCCTTCTAGAGAATCATCCATAGGATTGACACCAGTTATTGATGATAATCCCTCCAATCCATGATTACAGTGTTGCTACTGCTCATAGCACCACGCTCATTTAAAAACTGAGAGCAGCGCTGTTGAGACAAAAGGCTTTTGTGGCTCTGTCCTGTTTCTGCTGCCAGTGTCTGTGGCTCAGTTCTCAAGGGTTGCCAGGGATTGCTTTGTCTTCATGCCATGCCTGGTCAAATGAGCCTGAACCTGTAACAATGAAACATGCAAACATTAATCAATGTTGACAGGTTGGTTTCGAGAGGTTTGTTTACTAGCTGGGATTGGTGCTTTTCTGGATGATTTTCAAAATTGTCTGTTTGATTTTGATGGTGTGGATGTTTTAATGGATGTAAATTAAATTCTTTAAAACTCATCTCAGTATAATAATAAAACATGACAACTGAGTTTATATAATTCTTAATAACAATAGTAAAAATAAGCTACATTATAACTTAACTTGTCAGTGTTTTCTAAAATTCATTGTTTGTAAATGCTCAATGTGATAAAAGTCAAATTCATCATTGTACTGTTAAAATTATGAGATGCATTAAAATATGGCATGTTACTTAATATGTGGCCGTCATCTTTAGAGAGAGATGAATATTTTAGACACTGAAATTTTTTTTTAGAAATATGAAATATTTCAACTGTTGACAAGCATTGTCAGAATAGTGTAATTCAAAATTTCAGCACACTAGAACATTTTAGATTTTAAGTTACCAAAATATTAACAAGAATTAAATTTTCTTATGATTTAAAAAAAATACATGATAAATGCAATTAAACGTCTACATGGAATTTGCCTGATTTCAGGATTTTCTTTCTTCATTTTAATCTGCTTTTTTTTCACATCATCTAAATGTGATGAGAATTTTCAGGATTTTTCAGTTTTTACAACTTTCACCAATGCATCTTTTACCAGGAAAAAACAACTTAACCATTTTAGTTCAAACAAAGTATGCTGATGGCAATGTAGTCTTCTAAAAGACTTAGACTAGACTAGATAAGCTAGGATGCTGTTATATGCCCCCTTTATTTCACCTAAACACTTTGTCACTTGATGAAGGCTCTTCATTAGCAACTTTTCAAAAGCCCATTTGAGAGAAAATGTAGAAATATAGAAAAGTGCGGGGGGGGGGGGGGGGTCTTTTCTTCTTTTTTTTTCACTTTTTTAATGTATAAAAATATTCCAGAGACTTTTTGGCCAAGTGGCCAAGTGTATCTCTAGATCTCCACTTGTTAGAATTCTAGGGATTTTGCTCAAAATTGCATGCTTCCTGAAATTGTTTCAATAGATAAATGTAACCGTTTCAGTAGAATTCTGGAGCCTTTGCTAGAAAATGACTACTACGGACTATGCCTAAGGGGTTGGAATTTCTGGGAATAGATCTTTACAGCATGGAATACAATCAGTTTTAATTACAACAGGGTAGGACAGTTAGTGCAAAAACAAGATAATATGGTCCTTGAAGTCTCGGGTCTGATGATGCTAAACTTTGATTGGCTTTCCTCAGGGGATCATGGGATAGCAAAATGGAGAGCTAGAGGGACGCGGAGAGAAGAGTCGTGTATTCTAAAGGGCAAAACACTGCAGCGAATTGATCAAATCTTCCTTATCATATTCCGCTTAAGATATAGATAGGATTATTGCAATGTCTCCTTAATTATATTGATATTAATTTAGATTCCGTCTTGGATAAAGCCATTATTAGATTGATTTCGTATTTTATAGATATCAGTTTAGATATGGATCATCAGGATTGTTGATGTGATAGGCGATGTTGCAATTGTTCGTTTTCGATAAAGGTGATGATATGGATGTTGGCGTAATGAGAATTGGTTCAGTGACCATGTCATTGCAGGCATACTAGCTAGTACTTTCAAATTTTTTTTTGGACATTACTTGATATTACTAGAAATCAATGCAATCTATCTGATGTTTACAATAAAAAAAGTTATAAACGGGCAAAAGGGGTTTTTTTTTTAGGTTAGAAACCCCACTGATACAACCTGTGGTATTGGTCGCTGGTTTGAGACAGAGGCCTGAGAATCATCCAATACAGCCCATCCAACTTAATGTAACTTGGCTGATTTTGTGGGATTTGGAGGAGAGCACTGTATAATAATGGCAGTAGTAATGGTGGCGTGAGAGGAATAGTAGTCCGTTAGGAATCTTACTCCGCTTTCCATTACTTTGTACAGGTGAAAGTATATATACTAAGCCCGATACTTTAACTAACCCTGATCTGTACTGATAATATCAGACCCTGTACTACCATTCCTAGAACTACGATTCTTGTCACAGCGGACTAGCGCTACATGAATGTAGTGCATGAAAGTGACAGACAGTTTAAAAGTTTATCACTACATATCACAAGAAATAAATTAGGATATATCAAATTGATAACAGTTATTGGTATGTGAGCTAAGAGCGTGGCACTGCAATAAAATTTATGAAATGTGATCATTTTTAAAATGGAGTTTTAAAGTAAGTTAGTCTCAATAACCAAACAAAACCAACTTGAAGACTAAAAGTCTGACTTGCAAATTGAAAAAAAAATTAAAAGAGACAACAGCTTATTATTTTCAACCTACTCACTGTAAGCAGATTCTTTTTAGCACTTCTTGAGGCTTTCTTGCAGACGCTGTTGGTAAGCCACAGTCATCGATGACTTCACTTACTATTACATCACCTTGATTCTGGCAAAATGCTACTCTAGCATCAAGTATTTTATCATCAGTTTGCAAAATGCTTCAATGATCACTTCTTTAACCAGGTAGAGATATTTAATTACTAATGCCTTACGGAGACAGTCTATCTGTCTGATTTTGAAGTCTCAGACTTTGGCTCCAGAAATGATCCTTTATTCATACTTTGTCTCATTAAAGAAACGAAGCACGATGCATTTTTGTCTTTTTTGGCACCAGCAGTAGAACTACTGTCTGCCTTCTGCCTCTAAAATATTTAAACTACGTCAGCCTCAAAGCTTTAAAAGAACCCGATAACCTAGTTACAATGATTTATTTAATTGCCAGCAAAAATCAGTTCTTGTTTCCAAGGTGTGCAACAGACCAAGGGAAGCCCATGACATTATGTTGGTATTAGCTTATTTTTTAATTTGTCTCATTCTCTCAAGCATAAGCTGTTTACACCAAACAGTTTTCAATAGTTTGGTGTCTGTCATGTCAGCTTCTTCAAAGAATGAGGCTAAAGGTGTTGGAATAGCCTCTAACCCAGATGTTCCTCTACCCCCCCCCCTCCATCACCCCCTGTTGCCCACACCCTCACCACTGGAATACAAGAAAGCAAAAATCAGAACTCTCGTTCTTAGGTATTTTGGTGGCTGTCATGTCATTGTCTTCAGGGAGTGAATCTAAACAGGTGCTAAAGTAGCTTTTGCCTCATGATCAGTTGTAAGCCAGGATCTTAATCATATCTAATAAGATTTACCATAACATACTCATCTGTAGGTAACTATTTTTCTGGCTATTTCAATGATATGCCCCTATATCCCTTTCATTCAAAAAGATTCCAGATTGTAGATTTTATGTTTCCTTACCTGTAAAACAACTGGTTTTAGTTCTGCCATGTTTATTTTATATCTGCTGCATTAAGCTTTACCTATGGCAATTTCTCACTTATTTCGTATCAAATAAAGAGTATTTACCCAAAATACTGTTTCACTAGTAGATCTTGAAACAATCCAGGGGTGTTATGCATCTAAGTATGTTCTTTTAAATGCAAATATAATTGTACCTTTTGAAGAAAAGAAACAGCAGAAGAAGAATTAAGGTACTGTATTTGAAATGTTGGAATCATCACCATATTAACTGAGTTTTTTTAGTATTAAACAGCTGTATTTGCTTAGGATTTGTTAACCTTTGGGAACTCTGTCAAAACCTGTTAGGTTCTGTCTCTAATAATATTCTTGGTAAATACTGAATGCTAATTGCACTTTTCATGGTTAACCCATATGCAACCAATTTGTCTTTTAAGTTAGCATTTGCATAGAATCATTTTAAAAGTTCTAACTTATTTGATTGGGGAAACTTCAACAGACTTTTGTAGCAATGTTACTAAGAAAGTGGTTAATTGTTTAAGTCCATGCAGGTCCTGTGGACGTGTGTGTGCATATGTTTGTGTGCATGCATGTGCATGTGTGTGTATGTGTGTGTATGTGTGTGTGTGTGTATGTGTGTGTGTATGTGTGTTAAGTGTTTGAAGGTCTGTCTGACGCATCACTTTTTTTATATATCAACTTTTGTTGTATTAACTTAAGTCAAGGATACAGGCCAGTAAAGCTTCTAAAACCTGCCAAGTTTGAAGTGGTGAAGCCATGAGCGTCAGCAGCCTTTGTTTTCGTAGCCTTTTAGTTTGTTTTTATATTTGATTGCAGCTTACTAAATCTAAAATGGCATACCTTAACGTGCAGCATCTTTTTAAAAGATTTATGTTGTAACGTAAAATTCTAAAATGGACCTTTATTGTAGTAAATGTTTGAAGTGTAACAGCCATTTCTTGGAAAACTTTCTTGTTCATTTTATTTCAACCTTTTTTCCATTCATTTTTTTTTACTGACAGATATAGAGATAATTAGTCCTATTTAATAAGGAAGAAATACTTCAAAAATTATATATTTCCTTTTTTTTTTTTTTTGACATGCAATTAGCTTATTTACACCTATCAATAATTATAAAAACACCTTCAAGGTAAAAGTTAAGCCTTCTGCAGCAGCCAAGGTTAACAAAATGACCTGTAAATTGATCAAAAATTATAGTCTAGTTCACTTTGGCTAGCTTTCTACTTTGACAAGTCTACAAAAAGTCTACTTTGGCAATAGTAGTCAAGCTTAGATTAAATAGAAAAAAGCCAAGGTTTTGGTTTAAAAGTGGACCAATATTTTGATGTTATTTTGTGAAACCAATCCTAGATCTTTTCACTTGAAGTCTTGTCTGCAGCTTTTTTCATAGATAAAAAAGAACAGCAGCAATTTTAGACAGAACTTTTGTCCACACTCCAAATTGAATGCAGAAATGTTAGTTACTCTTAACAAAAAAAGTATCATAACGTATTTTTCTTCATGTAGATATTTTATATTCGGTATGATTACACTGTAACAGATAATATTCAGATCATAGTGACAAGCTTGAGTAAATACAGGCTCTACTGTTATAAGGTGTTTTAACATCTGCTAAAATCTGTTAAC